ATTGAGTTGGCTTGGCGTTCGAGCGTGTGTAAAATCGTGATTGGAGGAAGGGGAAAGAAAGGGTTGGAAGATATATTTCAAGTACCGCTGACCACTTTTGGGCTTATCCGAAGCGGTAAATTTTTCAATGAATAAAACAAAGTTTTTCATCAACACGTGATAAACTTTTTTTATCTTTTACGCAATATTGAGGTCGATTGAACATTAATATTTTGTTGCTCATTATTACGGACTGATATATGGATAGTTGTACCAAAACATTTCACTTTCATTGAAAGAAAATTAGATTTGACTCGTTCAATAAAACATCAGAAGCTTGGGGGGTTATTCACATTGACGGTGTTAACTGCGTGTCTTGACTATAATATCATGAGTATGAGAAAGACACAGGCATGGTTACAGTCCTGTCAATGATTTTGAAACCAAAGCGATCAGGTACTATGATATAAAATTCTGATCGATAGCAGGTACACACACTTGAGAGGCTATTTAATTAAATTATTTGGATCTCCTTATCTAAATCAACCTTAAATCATTAAAACATCATTCATAAATTTAATGCCCACCAATTGCGATTACCCGAAACCTCGTGAAATCATTGTGTCGAAGTACCAATTGGATCAGCAACTATATGTTTAAATAAATTAAAAAAAAATATGCTTCATTTAGAAGAGGTAATTGTTGAAACGGTAAATGAAATCAATATGAAACCACGATGACCTTTTTGAAATCTAAAACCATTTGGATCCTTAACGGGAGAGTGAATAACCCCTTCAATACACCCTGACACCAACAGTCTTGCGCAGTCAACACTTTGACGGTGTTGAACAAAGTATATTGAACCAAGAGACCGAAAAACGCGCAGAAGGAAGAATAGAGTGGAAAAGTTGTCGAGAAGTATGTCGAGGAGGATGCGTCACGGCTACGCACAGGGACTTATAACGAGCATTCCATGGTGTCTACTTTCTCTCCCCCCCCCACCCCCCAATAAAAGGTCAATTATTTGGGAAGTCCAATAAAATCGCGATGAGAATTTTAGGAAGTCGCGCTTCCGTCTTCATACCATCCCTTCAATTACTACTTCTTTTTCCCTTCTTTCGTGTATGTATATACATATTGCTCCCTCGCTTTCCCTTCTCTCCTCTCTCTTCCTGTTCGTTACTCCTCAACGGCGGCTCCTCCTCCCTCTCTCTCCCTTTATACCGTGCTGCTCTCAATTGCGGGATCGTTGCCAATTTCGATTCGCGAATTTATCTCTTTCATGCTCATTCTTCTGTGGTGCTCCAAAGGGAGGCTTCCTCTCTCTCTCTCTCTCTCTGTGCGCGCAGTTTCACAGGAGAGCCCGCGCTTCCTTTTCCCGTCGAGCTGAATGCGAAATACATTTTTTGTGTTTTCAAATTCTTGTACGCGAGCGCGCGATTATACCTTTTTTCGTTGGGGGAGTCCAAAAGGGGAAGAAGAGCTGCTCTTGGCTTCCTTTTTTTTCCATAAATTTGGCTTTATTAATTTCAACGTGGGAGAGAGAGACTCCCCTGTAGCTCCTGTTCGGCATGTATACTGCTTACTTACTACTGTCGGAAAGATAAAATGAAGCCTGCTGTACATACATACGGGTGAGGGTGTCTCTCTTTTTTTTCCTCCAATTCGTGGAGTCTTTTTAATCATCCAAACGTACATTCTTTAAATTCACGTGAAAGTAATGAACGCTAATGTGATCTCGTTAAATAGTGAGTGCCAGAGTTCCTGCGACCTATTTTTTCCAAAATCGACGCGGTGAACATTCAATACCCTTCAAGATTCGCGTACAGTGCACCAAAAATACGATGCAAGATCTCTTTGGAATGATTAATTAAACTTTAGCATGACATCCCTTGGTGGTACGAAGATAAGAAAATCTCGCCATCCAAAGAAGTAAAGAAGCACGCAATCTTGCAAGAATTTCTCCAGTTTTCATTTTTCCATCTGTCCTAAAAAATGTGTTCCCCCCCCCCCCGCCCTCCTCAAACGAGAGAGACAAGAGAGAAAAAATGGGAGAAGTCTAAAGAGACGCAACCTAGAAATATTGCGAGCCGGCACCTGTGCGAAAGAGCGAGGGGGCTTATCTGGGTCACATTGTGTCCCAGAAAGTACACATCAGCAGCCACTGCGTGACTCGTTGCGGAAAAAGCTGTCCATCTCTGCGGGGGGTAATCCGAGGCACATGCAGGCATACCCTCAAGGGGATGGAAAGCCGATCGTTTACTCGCTGCTCAACTATTTAATCACGAGTGCCATACGGATGATCCTTGAGACGAAAAACTCTTACGTACCTTTTCCCTTTGCGAGTTGAGCATCGGATACTTTTTTCCTCAGACGCAGCAGAGACACAGTCTCGAGATCGGCTTCAAGATTATTTCTTGCTCCGTATGTGCACGTTTTGCTAACGTTGCAAACAGAAGAACCGAGGGAGACGGATGCTTGAGAGACGAGGTACCGAGTGCTCGCAATGACGTTTTTTGATCGCGTATCCTGGAATTTATTGGCAATCTTTCAGTATCAATCGGTTCCCTTTGCAATCTGACAGATATTTGTTGAAAAAAAAGAAAAGCTCCAAAGTACAAGCCGCCATTTCGTTGCACTGAATCACTTACAAACGTAGCATGCGTACGTAAGTAGAGTGTAGCAGTTGTTCATTCTGACTAAAGGCTCTCATCGATGATCTCATGGTCCATCATGTAGCCAAAGCTTTATACATTGTCCTCACGGAAGGCAAAAATTAGTGATGGGCTCGCAGACTTACACGTTGATTATTACAGCTATACGTTTCTATGATGGAAAATAATACTATTGTATGATGATAATATTCCATACATGAAAATAAAAACTGGACATTACCATCAGTGTATTGTATTATGGTCGACGTCGTCGTCTTTCCCTCATCGGGTCCATCTACAGCGCTTTGACTCCGTTACCATTCGAGAAATCGAATCTTGGCTCTGCTCGTGCATCGCAACCACGACGACGACGGCGATACAGACAAGTGTTATCGGTCGCTTATCGCGGCAGCTCTCGAATTCTTCCTGCGTCCTGTGTATATGTCCATACAAAGCTACACTTGAAATATGTACGTACATGTATCTGCGCGTCTCGGATATCGGCACTTCACTCCGAGGTTCTTGGCCCCGGAGTCGTCGTAGTTGGCCAACGACTCCTCGGGAGTTTCGTGCATCATCAGCACCAGCCCTACTACTTTTTTTTCCCCTCCAAAACCCATCGAGTTTTGTTTGAAGAACCGTACGAATTTCAGCACACCCTCTTCTCTGCAAATACTCACGCGCAGGACTTGATAACGTCCCGTTCGCTGTTAATTGAGTGCGAAAGCTATGATTAAACGCTCCGCTTGACAAATTAAGTTGTTCTTGGCTGATTTGTAGGCTCGACTCTACTGCCGCCGTTGATGCCCGGTATTCCTGCCGCGTGACGCGGTTCCAACCCTTTGGGCGATTAAATATAGATTACCCAGCGCTTGCTGCGGCGGTGCTTTTGTGACGTTCAAAGGACTATTTGGAGATGATTGATTCAACGCCACCTACTATTAGGAATTTTATTTTTACTTTCCGGGTCTCACGACGTCCGGACTCTGCTGTACGACTTGGTACGCAGAGCAAGTTGCAGCGTTTGCAACTAGTTATGGATGCCAAAGGCTTGCCGATTGACAATCAAAACGGAACGAGTAGGTATAGTGCTTGGTTCTTTCGTTCAAAGCGAAAGAGATACATCGACGTTTTCTTTATTTATTGCTAATAGTCAAGTTAGATCATGTATTACGTAAATTGTGTTGTTTTATTGTATTTTATTTTGTGACACAGTTTGTATTTGAATATAACAGGGCATTGTACAAACATAAAGGTGTTAAGACTATATACATAGCACCAAGTAAGATGGGGCTCAGCCCATAAACTCAAAAAGCAACGATTTATCATCTGAAGTCAAGCTTTGTTAGTACTTATTTCTATTTGCAAGTACATTTATTCTCCGACAAGAGAAAAAAAGGGGTAAGAGAGATATTAGCAATTCACGCTAGTTGTACAAGTTATACGACATGACGTCACATGCGGGGCTAACGAGAAAGCAGCACGCAATTTAAATCGATTCCGAGACTCGATAAGAGAATGAATAGGGAGGAGAAGGAGGAGGCAAAAGTAATATTTGCGATGATGCTCGAAAGATACGACAATTACGCGCACGATCATTACGTTTTCACTGCTCTTGAACATTTTTTTTTTTTTTTTTTTTTTCATCGTTACTCTATTTCTAATAAATCCTTGCGTGCATTCACGCATGGCAAGCCCGTCATTATGCGCTTATCCTTCATGTTTAACGGTACTCTTATCACTACATGTCAATTGAGACGGATGGAATATATGCCATTTATGTCGATGATTTTCTTTTCTCGTTATGTTTTTTAAGATTGAATTTACACAAAGTTTTATCCCCAGAAAAATGGATCATTCTGAAACTTATATTTTAGCATTATTTCACTGTATATATCTAGTGCTTGGTCTGACACAAACGTACATTGATTTGATAAATGAAAAATTTAATAACACTTGATTTGTTTAGCGTTGAAAAAATGTGTTCCTTTATTTTTTGATAGTGAAAAACAACACCTGTTGACCTGTTGAAACACAAGAAAAAAGAGAAGGTCGTAGGGGGTGGTACGTGGTTTTCCTTCTGCTCACAAAAGTTATTCACTAAAAGAAGAGATGGTTTTAATTTACCTTAGAGTTGGATCATAATAATAGAATGTACCTACTTTTCTGACTTTACGTAATAGTTAAGGTTCGCAAGTTATTTCGTGGCGCAAGTTCAAGTTGTGATTTTTTGTCGAGAAATAATTTTTATGAAATATTATAACACAATTTTAAACAGTAACATAAAGTTTTGATAGAGTTTCCTAACAATATCTGCAACAATCACTAAAACTCCAACTACACGTATATTTCACTTTTTTGTTACAGTTTCGAGCTTTTAGAGGTTCCACTGCTGTTCCATAAAGAACGAGGTATGTACAATTATTGAACTTATTCCTGATTATTTTAAACAGGACAATGAGAGACAAAAACTATTAAAACTATAGAGAAATTCTATAAAAAAATTAGTGTTGCGCATAGTAAACTGTATGACAAGATGAGAAAAACCACTGTTTCAACAGCGCAAGTTATAATTTAGAAAGTAAAAATAATTGTTTTAAAACTAATAATTATAATTAATACTTTAAAAACTATACTCTGTCAAACGGTCACCATCGTAATTTCAACTCTTCTAACTGTAATTTTAATATAAAAATATTTTTGCTGCCCAAACTATAACTTTAACATTTAATACAGTGTTTATTTCATCTTGAAACCAGTTTATCTGTAGAACAGTAATTTTTTATATAATTTTTCTGTAATATTTTTCTAGTTTTTTCTGTCAAAATATGATACATGGCAAGGTTCATGAGTGTCCAATTATTATTTTGATAGCAATGACACTTACTATGATACCTTAATGAAAAGAAACTAATCGCATGACAAGTTGATCGCTTAAAATTATAAAGGAGGAAATGGCAATATTTTAGTACACCTCGAGCATTATAGCACGTCAATTTTCTGACGTATCTGTAAAAGTTACCAGCTTATGCTTTAAAGTAGATACATAACTTTGGAGTAGTTTAGATTAATTGTAAGATAGCCCGAGCGTTTAACAAAATTTTCTCCACGATTCAACTACAGTTGTCAAACGTCAAACTCTGAATCTGTGAGAAAAAGGCCAAAAAGAGTGTTTATATAGATACAGTGATGGACGCAGAGAGAATACGTGGAAGGTGCGTTGACCTCTGCTAAAATCTCACGACCAATCGCCTGCGTACAAACATACACCTGTACAAACACACCCATTCGTACACTCATTTCTCTATGACCTAACGTCAACCTCGCCGTTTTTGCTCTCAAGGTAGGGTTATTGACCTCGCGTGGTTGCTAATTTTCAAAGGAAAATCGTGAGTTTAGTGTTACGTAATCCCAAAACCCATGGTTTTTGCAATTTTGTATTGTCCGTCAAGGTGCAAAATAGTAGTTGCTACAATGTACCTACATGTGATTTAAGCCTGTAGTACACACCATACATTATTGGTAGCTATACTCCAAAAGTTGTGATGATGACTCCCATATTTTTATCGTATCATTAACATATTGGAGATCGAAAATACGCCTCAAACTACGAATCATGAATGGAATAGCATGAACGTAAACATCGTCAGTTTACTTAGTTGCACGGAAGTAGATACGGACTTGTTAGGTAAGGCGTACACACGGCATTATGCCTCAATCGTGTTTCACATCGGGTTTTTTCGGGTTCAAGGCTTTTTCTCTTTCTCTCTGTTGCCGTATATTATGTTGCTTACGCATTAACAAAGATTCTCATTTACTTTTCTTCAATCTCGTTTTATCTGAAAATACACGCGTAAATAAAAAAAAAAAAAAAAAAACAACGTTAGTCGTTAAAGGATCATCAGGTTTAAAACCCTGTTTTTCACGCTTATTTCTACTAATTGGCTGTAGTGCTGCGGTTGTTGCTCGTGAAAATACGGTAGCTACAAATACTCTTTATCAAGAGATTCGTGAATATTACATGAACGTCATTCGTATACGTTAAAAGCATTTGTTTGTAAGCACATATCTTTACAAATTTAAAGTCGTTCTACGAGCTATTCTCAGTTTCAAAGAATTTTGTTCATTTAGCGATTGGTCAGCATTGATGAGTCTGCGTTAATAATTTATCTATTATCTTTGGTAACATAGATATGATCGGCTCGCGTGTCATTTCGAAGTAATCGCATTACTGAAATTAAATTTTTCCATTAAAGATACACATCTCACGTGATAAAACAAAAAAAAAACAATCTTTAGTCGACGATTATCGTTGAAAATCAATTTAACTAAATAATGAAAAAAAGTTCTCGACACGAATGCTCGTCCTAAAATTTTATTTCTTCCCTTTCACATAACTTTTTCTTGGTGGTGATAGAACCATCATCGTAGATCGCATCCTTTAATTAAATGTTGATCTCTGAATTTCATTAAAACACAACTTTTGCACATGGTAATATCAGTGTTATTTAACGTGACACGCGCGCGTGGTTATTAAAATAATTAGCTCTAATGATTAACAAGAAGGATGATTACGCTGGCCGTATTCGGACGGAGATTCCGTCATCCCGATTTGGCTGGGTATAATTTAGTACATGTAGCAAAATGGAAACCGGTGTGCCGTTGCCTGCATGGTCATTCCGTGCAATATGTATACATGTATTTTTTTTTTATTTTAATCCTATTTGCATAAAATTGCAGGGAATAAATCCCATGTTCATGACAGGAGTGGCAAACATTTCCTGTCCCCTCAATTAAATTATGCTAGGAATGTCACGTCCACTGCAGCGCTAATGAAAATCAATCGGGCGATAAATACGTACGGAAATTTACAAAAATTATACCTATACGCTCCTTAAAAAAATGGTATCAACATACGCATTGCTGTTTACATCGTGGCGGGGCAATGTTGGTAGCGTCACACCTCGACGATAAATCTCGAAGAAACGCTCGCTACGTCTTTTCATCTCACTTTTTCTTTCGCCAAGTGAGAGAGAGAGAGAGAGCAGCTTGTGGATCAGACGCCAACAACGTCTGAATGCGAACCGCAGAGCAGCGATCGAGCTCTTGGCGCTAAAAAGAGGGAAAGAGCAGCAGACAGACAGAGACGGAATTATCGCGACCGTCGGAGAGTGCGAGGGGAGATCGTGAGATAGTACGTAGTGGGAGAGACGAAAACAGGAGCAACAGAGTATAGGTACCTATATATTAAGTGTGTGTTGTTCCCGGCTTACAATAGTCTCGGAAAAAGACTGACTACGCGGGCAAGCCATCCCATTGGCCGACTGCTCGCGACAAAGCTCAAGGAGAGAGTGTATAGAGTCATACTGGTGGGGGTAAAGGATGCCGCCGTCGAAGGGGTGGTCGAGCCATTGGGTGGGGTAGGGGGGGGTGGCGCGACGAGGGGAAGTAGCGGCAAGCTTCAGTGCACTTTATGTGTATCGTGACGTATTTTGGCGCCCATAGTGGGGATCACTCGCGAGTCAACTGATGGTCATATAGTATGGAGAGACCCGTGAGGAGGAGGCCTTGGAAATATCGACCGTCCACTTCCATTCAGTTAGCGTCCCTCGGAACTCGCGGATTGGAAGGGGGTTGAGGGACCGAGAGGGGAGGGGTGGGGGTAAGGGTCGTGCACGCTGCCGTTTCCAACATCGAAGCAGAAAGGACGCCCTCTCGCGTTTCTCTCGTTTCAAATGTACCCGCGCGTTTTTTTGACTGCTCGTTCAAGCAAATGTACGCGCTCTTTTTTGGGAGTCCTTCTCGTGTACACGTGCACATATCTACGTTTGTTCAAATTCATCAAGGATTCATCTGAATCTTGGCACTTGAGCAAAATAGTCTGTGCCATCCAAATTTCCATGGGGCTCCAAATAGTAGATACACATTGAGCCAATGTTTGTGTACACGGAGGAGAGGTATATTATGGAGTGTAGAGAAACTTTGGTATCTTGTGGCGTGGCTGCGTATTTATTTTGCCTGCGCGCGCCCTTGGCTCAGCCGCCTCCCTTCGTCGTCCTGCGCGCGCCCATTGCCCCCTTCGATCCTCTTCTCGTTTTCGCTCTTCGTACATTGAACTCGAGAGAGAGAGAAAGAAGAGCCACTCCAAACACCGAACTTCACGATCGTTATATACCGTGCGTAGGGAGAAAGTGAGAGAAGGATACAGTAGAGCTCTGTCTCTTCTTGAAAAAGAGCAGGACAATTATAATAATAATAATAAATAAAATGGGTACCTTATGTTTTGAGTGAAGTGTAAAGTGAGGAAGGAAGGTGAAAAAGGGTGTGTGATGTCTGACCTCATGATTCTCACGTGGGAATGTTTTGATGCAAGTATACATCACGTACACATGAAATTTACCTGAAACATATCTTGAAACTTTTCTTTTGCTCTGATGGCTTCTTCTTTTTTGGTTGACTTTAACAACCAATATGTATATTTTAGCAATTGTTATCACACCTAGTTCACGAAGATACAAACTCATATCTGTTTCTATGAGATTAACAAAATTACTCGGTGGCAGCGTTCATTTGAGTTTTATGTCGATAAAATAAATTTATCAAGACGTCAAAGAGTGATCTGCATTTGATTCTTGATTTGTTTTTCATTCATTGTTATTATTATTATTATTATTATTATTATTATTATTATTATTATTATTATCTTAATGCCAATCATTTCTACATGCAATACCTACCAAGAAAATTTTAAAGTGCAAAGCCCTTGTGTTCTTCTTTTTATTTCGACATGTGGTAGTCCAGAAATGTTCGTGTATTCTAATAACTTCACATGTAATTTCTCATCCCTATGTATCCGATCGATTTCAGAATTGCTTTGGGATTATATGTAATTACAAAAAAGCTCGAGCAGCAACAATACGGACAGTGTAATCATTGGGGTGTAATTGCGTGTGCTTTCATTCCCCCTTATTATGTGTGTGCGTGCATTTTTTTTTTTTTTTTTTTTCGGAACTTCACTTTGTTTTCAAATTTTTCGAAAATACTTCGAAAGCGAAATCATCGCAGACACAAAAACACGGGCAATCAAGCAATTTTCTATAATTTTAATGTCTGAAAAGTTGAAAAAAAAAACACCCATACTCGTACAATTTGCCATTTTATAATTGCGGTTCGAGCGGCAAAAACTTATTTTTATCTTAATCTTTGCACGTATGCCCATGTGTAAGCGCGTTTACAAAGGGAGAGAACGAAAGAAAGAGTGGGAACCGATGCCACCAAACATTATCTCCTAACTGCGCAGTAGTTGTAGATACGACACGAAAGCCTTGGTCGGCCGTACCCGTACGCATACATTGTACGTGCACAAGTCATGGCAGTATACGTAGAAATCACGTTGAAAAATTGTTTCTAC